ACCAATGGGGTCTTAATGTTATTAATGACCAATTGGGTCGCTTTTACATTGTAATCACAATTTTGTATCAATGGTTCAGTGTAAGATAGAGTTGAATTGTATACTAGAAACGTTACATTGTAAAATTATAATGATTGTTACTTATTCTCTGCAGTCAAGTACGAGGTCGTACAATAAAAAGAATGGCCGACTGTCAACTAACGCATTATTTGAAAGGCCTAACCGTTTTCTCAACAGTCGTGTTATTTAAAATGCATATCCGTTCATCGGTTTAAACAATTGGCAACTATTGATTGTTAGACAGGTTAACAAAACTCGTACTTGTTTGCAAATATAATTAAAAATACAATTAAGATTTATAACAGTCGGTCAAAGTAAATTCACGTTAATTTTATGTCGAGTCTCGGGGGTAGTGTCATCCCCGCCCTTTTTGTATAAAAGCGGAGATGCCGCCATTGCCGAGTTCAGTTTTTGCTCCCGATGTTCGTGCAGTCAACACCTAAGATTGTAAGTGGTTATTATTGTTCTATTTTTTATATTTTGCTAAATTTATGTTTATTTACATTAAATTTTTGTGATATTTGTACATGCATGAGGTATCCATATATAAAAAAATAATTAATTAAATTATTGGTAAATTTCCTTTAAAACTTGCCTATTTTCTGATATTTGACTGTTATTATTTTATGATTTCTTCATGAATTTAATGATGTAATTGAAAGAATACTGCATAATTACACTTATTGAAATTGATTAAGGTCTTTTATTTCACATTAGAAAGATGTTTAGCATGAGTATATGAGTTAATGACGCTTAAAAAGTGGTAAAATAAAATTTCGGTGGAGTAAAAAATTCATCCCTCCTTCATCCTCCCTCCATTTAAAGTAGCGTGGGCTATCGTTGGATAGATCTTTCAAAAATATTCGGGATGTAGGATGACCATTTTTCGAGTTCGTGACTTATTAAGCTTCAATTAAGCTGAACAAATCCCCCGTACCTCTATTAACTAAACGGCTGTTGTAAGAAATTCAAACGTGACGGCAGTAATAAATTATTTAACACTAGCTGACCCGGTGAACTTCATATCACTTACTTCTTAATAAAAACCATATTAATATTGAAAAATATTGCGTAAACTGACCAAAACACGACCATAAATATCGATCGTCAACTGAACATTTGACAGCTAAGAACAGTTTGTATGGGAAAATCAAACTGTAGGTTTTAGTATTATACTCGCAATTTTGTCATATTTTCTCATCGTTTAAAACTTCCCAGGACTTCCACGAATATTTCAAGACTAAAATTTGTCAAATCGGTTCAGCCGTTTTGGAGTTTTATCGAGACTAACGAACGGAAATTCAGTTTTATTTATATAATAAGATTTAAGTTGGGTTTACAAACTGACAAGTAATAAACTACCAAATTTATTTAACTCGAAGATTTCGAACAACTCCTTTGTGAACGACAAACGTTATTTGCAAGACGTAACAAAGAAATTGGTTTGCTTAAAAAATATACATACCCGTTTAACATATTAATGCCTAAATATGTTAAATGTAATGTAAATGTAATTGACCTACCCATAAATAAATTTCAAATTCATGTAAAAAATATACTTATGAGTAAAGGCTATTAAAGTTGATGATTATTTTAAGGATCGCAATGCATGGAATTAATAGCCTTCACTTTGTTCTATAAAGACTAATTATATAATCAACCTATGTCCTACAGACTTTGAAAGTTGTGTTTATTATTGTGATAATACATATTATTTTGGTAATGACATGATTTATGTAAATGTCATTACATAAGATAAAAAGCTGGTAAGTTTCTTTCGCTTGATCTTCTTGTCAGCTAAAAGACGTCCTGAACAAGTGGTAGGGGAAAAAAAATTTTTTTTTGGACTATTCAAAAGTGCTTGTAATAGCCTACTTGAATAAAGATATTTTCATTTCATTTCCTAATTTCGGGTTTTGATATAAACATGTCATCAAAATATTTAGGTAATATCCGATGAAAAGTATTTTTTTAGTTTAGTTATAAATAGATATCTACTAATTCGATTACGGTAAAATTTCACGCCCTTAAAATGAAAGCCCTTATCTGAATGAAACAACAACAAACTGTTTCATTGGTTTGTGTTTAGTTTTATAGACGTTTCGGACCCTTTACAGGTTCCGAGTTCACACAAGACTAAGGTGTAGATTGTCTTTTTAACTAAGAGTATAGTTAACTTCAAAACAATATTATTGGACATATTCACAATACAAATATATATATATATATATATATTTTATGGCAACGTTTACATTAATTACAAATAAAAACGCAAAGAAACCGTTAAAAAAAGTTGTTTCATTTATGGATAGTGCGCGGGAAAATATAAAAAATCAATATCTAGACTCAAGCAAAATGGCGGCGTTATTATTAAACGACTTCGTTATAAGGACATTTTTTTTTGTCATTTGTTTATATTTTTTGCACTAAAAAAGATAAAAGAGCAACTGGACTATTTTATAGAATCCACAGAAACACCGGTAGATTTCCATAATTGGTTACATATATTGGGCAGGCCTGTGCCCCAGCACTGGGGATGTTGTTAAGCTAATGAGATAATATAAAGGCGGATGCTCACTGGCATATTTTTCATCACCTTCCACGCTGGCCCAATGCGGATTGGAGGGTATTAACGACTGCAAATGCAGCAGGGACCAACGGCTTTACGTGCCTCCCGAAGCACGGAGTATCTCGAGATAATAATTTTTTGGTCACCCATCCCGTGACCGACCCCTGCGAAAGTTGCTTAACGACAACGATCGCTTATCCACTACGCCACCGAGCTACTGCAGATCTTTAATTAAGATTAACTTGAGACTCCAGTATAGCAAGCCAGTGTGCACACAGTACAATCGGACCACGCGGGTTAAAAAAAGTTGTTTCATTTATGGATAGCGCGCGGGAAAATATAAAAAATCAATATCTAGACCCAAGCAAAATGGCGGCGTTATTATTAAACGACTTCGATAAAAGGACTTTTTTTTCATTTGTTTATATTTTTTGCACTAAAAAAGATAAAAGAGCAACTGGACTATTTTATAGAATCCACAGAAACACCGGTAGATTTCCATAATTGGTTACATATATTGGGCAGGCCTGTGCCCCAGCACTGGGGATGTTGTTAAGCTAATGAGATAATATAAAGGCGGATGCTCACTGGCATATTTTTCATCACCTTCCACGCTGGCCCAATGCGGATTGGAGGGTATTAACGACTGCAAATGCAGCAGGGACCAACGGCTTTACGTGCCTCCCGAAGCACGGAGTATCTCGAGATAATAATTTTTTGGTCACCCATCCCGTGACCGACCCCTGCGAAAGTTGCTTAACGACAACGATCGCTTATCCACTACGCCACCGAGCTACTGCAGATCTTTAATTAAGATTAACTTGAGACTCCAGTATAGCAAGCCAGTGTGCACACAGTACAATCGGACCACGCGGGTTAAAAAAAGTTGTTTCATTTATGGATAGCGCGCGGGAAAATATAAAAAATCAATATCTAGACCCGAGCAAAATGGCGGCGTTATTATTAAACGACTTCGATAAAAGGACTTTTTTTCATTTGTTTATATTTTTTGCACTAAAAAAGATAAAAGAGCAACTGGACTATTTTATAGAATCCACAGAAACACCGGTAGATTTCCATAATTGGTTACATATATTGGGCAGGCCTGTGCCCCAGCACTGGGGATGTTGTTAAGCTAATGAGATAATATAAAGGCGGATGCTCACTGGCATATTTTTCATCACCTTCCACGCTGGCCCAATGCGGATTGGAGGGTATTAACGACTGCAAATGCAGCAGGGACCAACGGCTTTACGTGCCTCCCGAAGCACGGAGTATCTCGAGATAATAATTTTTTGGTCACCCATCCCGTGACCGACCCCTGCGAAAGTTGCTTAACGACAACGATCGCTTATCCACTACGCCACCGAGCTACTGCAGATCTTTAATTAAGATTAACTTGAGACTCCAGTATAGCAAGCCAGTGTGCACACAGTACAATCGGACCACGCGGGTTACAGCTAGTTATAAATATTTCTATAGTCTATTATGATAAATTATTCCAACAAGGTGTATTATGGCGATGCTTTACTATATGTATATAAAACATCTGTTGGATTGGTAATGTTCTGGGATTTACCGTGATATCATAACACATTATTATGTTAAATTTATCTTATGGATTCTGAATCATATAAAAGCTGTATAATGGAAAAATAAAAACATTGGAATAATACAAAACTAATAACCGTTTTACGAATCGTGCATGACATCTGTTTGATAAATATTTAACTTGTGTCCGACCGAATGTTCGGTTTCGGTTTCGGTAGAATTTCGGCAAAAAATGAGTTTCGGTTTAGTTTCGGTTTCGGGGACAAAACTAACGAAACTGTGATTGATCATAATTGGCGCGGCAATGAGTGGAACTTTTAATTTTTTTATCGAAGTGTTTATACACAATGTTGAATTTAGTTTAGAAGACGTTAATTTGTTTTTAAGATATTTTGTTTTTTGTTTTGATTATTACTTAATTAAGTTATAATAACAACTTAAACAAGTCATTTTATTTTTTAATATTAAAAACAAAACATGAATTGGAATTGAAAAGATAGATTCAAATAAACAGCTCGTCTATTATTAGTACTTTTAAGACATAATTGTTCGTTTAGTAAGGGGATTGAGGGGATGTCAAGTATGAATAGCTTTATGGTTTAAAGATAAGGAAATAAAGAAAAAATATTTTTTCTCTCAAAATATTATCTTTATAAGGAACTTTCGGATTCGGGCAAAACTGAGACCGTAGCCGAAATTCGGTTTCGGTTTCGGTTGGAAAAAACCAGTTTCAGTCGAATACTACGGTTAACCGATCATTACGAGGTTTTTTAAGTGTTTAGCCTCTAAAATAAAAATATAATAAAAAACTTATTCTCACCCTTGCCACAAGCAACCAGTATACCGACTGGTCCGTTGAAATTTTCTATCCAGCCAGAAAAAGGCTCATCCACACTGGATATCACTGAAAAACATTAAAACAACAAATTAGTTACAAGTATTTAAGAAGAAATGGTAGTAAAACTTTAATACAACAGAAATAAAGAATTTTCATATACTCTTTTGTTTTAATTTGGCAGCATAACAAAAAAAATAGTATGTCTTCAAATAATACTCCTGGATGGAGGGCAATTCTACTAAATAAATTTTGTTTAAATCGAATCGACATTTAACTGAAAATGTGTTTAACTATAAAAATACTTATAAAAATACTTTTATCTTATTAGATTTTTACCAAAAAAAAAACATTGTATGAACATTAAACATACGGTCGATTGTTTGATAAAAACAGAAACATAAATTTAAAAAATTGGCTCTATAGAAAAAATCACAAAAAATCCTCTGAATAGGTTTTTTAAATGAATATATTTCATCTCGACTATGAAAAAAAAATGCAAAAATAGGTTTTGTTATAACCTAAAATAAACTGAAAGATTTTTTTTTTATAACTGCATTAGTTTTTTATTATTCAAAATTAATCTAACGCGTCTTTACTCTGGATACGTATTTGTAATGGAACGTAAGGGCCATGAGACCTTGTCTAAAGGTACGTACCTATTGATGGTCTTATGATGACGACTGGGAGTAGACCTTTGTTCTCGTATACCACGTGTTCAGCTAACTGTTTAGTAAACGTATAAGTGTTGGGTATTTCACCGAGATACCTGAAAATAATTAACGGAATAATAATAAGAGGTCTTTGTGCTTAACTCTGCCAAAGAATATAAACAAGGCACTGTTGGCTAATAAGGCCCATTAATTTTGACCACTACGGTACTAAAATTCTAACCGAAAAATATGTTTAAATTACTCGTGCATTCTTGTGTCTTCACTGTGCACATTAGTTACTACTTTTTATAGTACACTGATTGTTTGCCCGAGATTTCGCCCATTTAAATACCCTATCACTTATTATTTGGCTTTCCGTCACAAAATATAAGTAAACTAGATGTGCCCGCGACTTCTTCCGCGTGGAATAGTAACTTTTGGCAGAATCTTTAATTCTTAGTGTTCCCTACCCAAAGGGTAAAATGACTACCCTATTACCAAGACTTGGCAGTCTGTCTGTCACCAGGCTGTATCACATAAACCGTGAAAATTAGACTGTTGAATATTTCACAGATGATGTACTTCTGTTGCCGCGTAAACAACAATAGAGTAAAATAAATATTTAAGGTGTCTCCCATACAACAAACGTGATTTTTAGCTGTTACACACGGCTGTATTACATGAAGCGTGGTGGTTAAACAGTTGAGATTATCACAAATGACGCAGCGCGCTGCTTTAAAAATGCAATATATTCTCCCGCTTTTGTAACCTTTTTTTCATTGCTGCTCCACTCTTATAGGTCAAAGCATGATTTGCTATAATCTTCTTCAATAAGTGGACTATTCAACACAAAAACAATAATTCAATTCGTGTCAGTATTTCCTGAGATTGTAAGGTTCAATAAAACAAACAAACAAACACTTGAGCTTTATTATTAGTTGTTTGTGTAGATGAAAGAATATTAAAATCGGACCAGTAAAGAAAGAAAATAAATAAAAAATATTGTGACGCCGTAAATTCATTGTAAACAGACCTTTATACTTACTTAGGCGTCAGCACGCGTAAAGAATGTTCGTCTATAGATTCGCATACTTGTAACGTGTCCCTCCAGTCCGCGTGCGGGGGGTACATCACCTCCTCTATGACGTCACGGTTCGTGTTGGAATATGACGTAGAAACGTGTACCATAGACTAGACGATATACGAACAAAAATATTTTAATGACATTTAAAATAATAAAATATTGTACTCGCTTACATGGTCGCTTATATTTTTTTTAGTAATTTGTTTTTTTTTTTTATAGAATCTGTTGAAATTTCACCGCAAGGATCGGTCATCGGTAAACGAAAATTTATTAACGCGAACTCCTTCATGCTCCAAGCCACTGGTGAGAGATCGACTAATATTCTAGCCATGGTTATGGCAATTTTTCGTTTCATTTTACTACTTTGACATGCCTTTACTAAGTTGGTAACACTGCTGGAAAATCTATAATCATCAATCTTTATCATTCGTTGGTCGTTATTATAATACACGTCAAAGTAATTTAATAAAGAATCTTTACTATCGATCTTGTAGTTTCAGAGCCTATTAATGCAAACAAACAAACTTAACGTCTTTCCTCTTTTTATTATTAGTATAATATTCTACTAATTTCTTACTGATTGTTTATTTATTTATTTATAAATGGTACACAAATTTATCATAATTAAAAAAGAAACCTACATGTTTGTAGGTTTCTGTTTTGATTTTAAAGTATTTGGACTAGACTATAATCCAAAAACTGCACACAACATGAACAGTATTAACTTACAACATGAATAGATCATTAAATAACTTTTAGTATATAGTTAAATTTAAATATTAAATTGTGTTAATATTATAATTATGGAAACTTGTCTAATATTTCTTTTTTTATGTTTCGAGAATTTGTTTTTGAAAATATCGAAAGTTAAATCATTACTATTGAATTTGATATTTATACGACACATTCTTACAGTCGGGTTATAAAAAGATTGGGAGAGTAAGTATTGCGGTTATCTTTTTTTTCAATCTACTGGTAAAAATAGTCTGTATAATACATACAGATAAGTTTCGGACGTCTTTGGCGAAGTCTATTATCTCTTTGGTGCCACCGAGGTTTAATTTGGCAGCATAAGGCAACGGATCGTCAAATCTGAAACGAAATATTATGAAACTTAAAATAAAATCTTCATTAATCAATGTTAAGTAGCTCAGTGGCGTAGAGGATAAACGCCGCGGCTCGCGATCATTGTTATTAAGCAACTTTCGCAAGGGTCGGTCACGGGATGGGTGACAAATTTTCTCGAGCTACTTTGTGCTTCGGAAGGCACGTTAAGCATTTGGTCCCGGCTGCATTTGTAGTCGTTAATACCCTCCAATCCGCATTGGGCCAGCGTAGAGAGTCATGGCCCATTCTCCTTAACCATCCATAAGGAAGGCCCTGCAGTGGGGACGAAATAAAGGGCTGATGATGATGATGATCGATGTTCGTAATAAAGATTTGATGTATGAACGAACATGTCCATACTGTAAGGATAGCGCCCTCTGATTTATTAATATGACTTAAGATATCATAGTACATTTAAAGTTATAACCAGTGGTCGGAATTAGGTAGAGTTATTCATGTACTTACACTGATTTCATACAGCGAAAGAATAAAGTGGATATGCCTCAAATCCCTAGATTAATTTTAAAGAGCAGAAAAAATCCCGTGATTTTTTAAATAAAAAGTTATTTACTTTTACACAATTTAAACTACTGCACGCACGACGTTGCCAAACTTACATCAATGACATCGGATGTCCAAAGTTGCAAAATACCAATACGCGCGATGTTGCCACATTTGTAGTTCACAACATTAGCTTGTGAGAACAAAAGAATACAATAGCGCAAATACGGAGCACTCCCCACTTAACGTAATGTACTAGATTGTGTCTCTTTCTACCGCATTCAAACTATCTAAATCCCGGGAAGGTCCACATTAATATCAACATTTCGATGCAAGTACATAAATAACTCTAGCTAATTCCGACCTCTGGTTATAACATAGTGGAAGGTACAAAATAAAAGGGAACTATATTATTTATTTATTATAAACACGACTCCCAAAAAAATAAAAAATTACGGTGTATTGGTAAATAACAAGTGAAAGAAATCTCTTTTAAATGACTCAATTCTCAATCTGCTGTTGGGGCCAGTGCACTAATTGTCCAATTCAAAAACCGCAATCCCATTCAAAGGTATAGCGCTAGTGATTACGAATATTACTCCCGTAGAACCTTATGATGGGTTAAACTTTACCAAGTCTCTGTTTAATAATATGAATTCTGACTAACACTAAGTGCAGTCACAGCGTAAATTTACTCCAACGCTTAACCTTGTTTATGAATAACACTGTAGCTGATTAGCAGAACTGAACTACGGGAACAGCTGATTGTACTTGGATATAAACGACCCCGGGCCCGATCACCCGGTGACCCTTCCCTATGATCGCAGACAGGATCGGCCCGGCAACTGCCTAGCGCTCTAGCACTTGGAGGACAGAGTACTTTTAAAATTTTCTGAATTAATGTTTTCGTAATTAAACCACCCGTCTTTAATAATACGAACGGTTATTGGATACATAATAATAATATAATTACCTTACACTTGCAGCCACGTGGAAAATTATGTGTACCCTATTCACTAACAGAGTTCTGTCTTCATCTGACAAACCTGAAAAAATATGTTATAGCGACATCTTTATAATAAAGTTAGAACTATAAGTATTTTAATAGGTTGAAATAATCCGTTTGAAATAATATTTCTAACTGTTAATTTTCATTTTAAAACGCCGTAAAACTAATATTTTGGTAAAATAAACACCTTTTCTTGCCTTAAAATTAAATAAAAATTTAAGCTTTTTTTCATATTTAAAAAAGCTTTTTTTTTGTCATAAACAGGGTTTTCTTTTAGGCCGGTTATTGTTCTTATGAACATAATATTTCTTCCTAATCTCCCATTTTTTTCCAAACGTCAGCCAATCGCAGCGTTAATTATTAAAACGAGGTGTAAAGCAAAGTCCATAATACTGTTCCTATGACTGTGTTATTACGCCCGGCAATGATATGGTAAGTAGCACAAGATTACGTTTTCAATTAATTACTCGCTCACTATCATATAAGTGTCGCATAATTCCCTCGACTACAAAGTGAATAGTAACCAATTTTCCCTATAAAAAGGGCATGGTTACAAAGACAAATGAAAAAAAAAATGTGTTTATTAGAACTTTGTAACTTTTTATTGTTTTTATAAATTCACATTTTGACTATGTCAAACCCGTCATGAATATGATGTAGCTTTCTCTTTCTTAAATACAACACTTTACACACGTTATTTCTTACGTACGTACGTACCAGTAAAAAGTTAGGGATTATGAACGTTCACGTCCTCTTATTTTTGTGTTTGTTTTGTAACCGATATAATTAATTACTAATAAACCAATTTCAAAAAATCTATCAGTGAGTAGTAACCTACCTTCATTGCAGAAGGATAAAAAAGGTTCCCTTTTTATGCAACATGTTTTTTTTTTTAATTTTTAAAGTACCTTTATTCCATTACTGAATAATATCAAAATCAAGCGTCGCGCTACATATTACTTAATTGATGCGAATTAATATGCAAGCGAACACTATATTACAATTGGTCTTATGTCAATTATGCGACCTCATTTCCGTTATCGGGTGTCTGTTTACGATTTAGTCTAACTATCGTAAAAACTCTTTTTACATACCTATTGTCCTAGGTTCATGCTAGCTACAGGTATTAACCGATATTTTTTAAAAACAAAAAGCGGTACTTTTAGTGTAAATTTTGAATTCAGAATACTATATTGTTAGCATATTAGGGGAAAGGAGTGGCAGATGTAAATGCTAATTTTGTGTAGTAATAAATAGAAATGTATTAAGCTTAAGTCTCTTATTTAATCTGTTCTTGAAAGGCAATTAAATTAAAACTAATTTCTAATTAACAATAACTTTTATCTAGTCAGAAACAAGTTAAACTCGCAAAATAAATCCTTGAGAAATTCAATTTTTCTCTCATCTAGAGAGTAAAATGAAAAAAAGGCAATCTGGAATATATAACATAGATTTAAGTTTTGCAATTAATAATTAAAATACAACCATTGTCTAGCTTACGTACTTACTTACAACATGACAAACATCGTAAGCAGTCTTTTATAGCTGATTTTTCGTATTTTTCTTGAGGAAAATGAGGAATAATTATTATTTACCTTCGCTGTTATTTTCTGTTCTCTCCTTCCTTCATTTTGTCCTTTTGTTTTTACAGTCGTATTTTTGTTTGTTATAAATTTTATTTTTTATTCCTCTCATGTTGCCCTTAACTTAAAATTTTCATGTTGCACATACGCTAGTATTATAATTACATTAACATATCTATAACCTCACAAATATATATTGCTTTGGTCAATGTATCAATCTGTACACTTAATTTCTAGTGTATTTACTATCAAAGCAAAATAAAACTATATTTCTTACTTAAGCAATTAAAGTAGAGAAATCTGACGTTTTTTATAATATTTTCGTACCAAATAAACACATTACTTATACATTTTACTGGCTTGTGCGAATCGGACTAAATATCGTTTGTAAATCACATTCAACTACGTGTATCTCTGTGTGTAGTGTAAAAGCACCCGCGATAGATCACATATTTTGTCTATTATAAGAAGTTTCCATCTTGGCCTCCCTTCCCCTAAATATCTTTAAATTATAATGCATAAAAAAAGTTACCAGTCCGAGTGGCCAATTTTTAAGCATTTCTCTTAAAAGTATTTTTTATTCAAATTGGATATTGACCGAACACAGTATATACCTTATGAAAATGAAAATAGTTTTATTAAGCAACAAGCACTTTGGAGTTGACCAAATTTTTTCTCTATCACTCGTTCAGGAAGTCTTTTGGCTGACACGAAGAACAAGCCAAATAAACTTACCAGCTCTTTACCAGACGTAGCCATATGTACATCTATCATGTCATTTCCAAAATAATACGTATTACAATATAAAAACAATTATCAACGTCTGAGGGACATAGCATAAGTATATTACATATAAAAATCATGTGCTGTTGGTATTCCCGAATATATATAAATAAATAAATAAATATTTAAGTAAATAATGTATACTGAAGTAGCAAACTTTAAATAAAAAACCTTTTGTTTCTTCTTTATCTCTAATGTAGTAGTTTGAAATAAAGAGAGGTAAAACGGAATATGATCTACAGTAACCAACATAATACTTATTTACGTGACTGCAAAGGAAGGGTTATGTTTTTAGCGCGTATCTTATGTGTATGTATGTAATATTCTTAATTACTTCATATCTTCAAAACCGCTGAACGGAATTAAATAATTGAGGTTACATTTGTCTTAGTAGCCCAAGTGTTCTTATATAGGTAACGTTAAAAAAAATCAACATATACCCGTATCATCAAAATAACATACAGTCGCAGGCATGACATTGAATAATAAGTCAAATCATTCTCTCTTTCTGCACGACTCCGACTGCATGTTAGTATGATGTTTCATTTTTTTTTATCTTGTTCCAGCCTTTTTAGTTAGTTGTTGGTCACACAGGCAAGTTTTTTGTTTCGTTAAAATTGTAATTTTTTATAATAGCGATTGTAGTCACTAATTAGAAACAAACTATTGTGACAGCTGCTTAGCTTTAATGAAAAATGCTTAAAAAAATCACCATCCTTTCTAGGTACCCCGGAATGGGACTGAAACCCACAACGTTCCGCAATACGAGCGATTGCTTTAACCATTGAGCTACCCGAGTTCCAATTTCGCTACTAGTGAGTTTATTTTCATCAATGTTCAGGCGGATTGCCTGAACCCAAATAGTTGAAAGAAATATTTTAAACGTTTGATGAAGATGAAAATGTAAAATTCATTAAATATAAGTTAATTGGATGAGTATGTGGTATGAAACATGAAAGTGAGAAAGGCATAGATGATAGGACTGGAACGAAAGATTATTAATAAGTCGGGAGCATTTGTAAAAGTTCACAACTCACCCAATCCTGGCTCCATGACATCCCCGGTGACTACAAATACTTTTGATTGAAAAATGTCCGGCATTTCGCTTCTCAGACGATCGAATGCCTGAAACACACCATCCTTATAAAAAAGTACCTTGCCACGTATGTATGTCTGTCTTTTGAATACTATTTTTGCTGTTTTCACCGATCGAAGAATAAATGCATGAGAAAGGTTTTTATGTGTAATTCGTTAGTATTTAGTGTAAATTATAGTCGGGAAGAGGTTATTTGTTATTTTAAATTCAAACAAGATTTCCGCCCGCATGGAAATCCTTTAAAGTATATTTTTCACGACAAATTCTATTTTTCACGACAAACAGTCCTTAGTCCTTTCCCAAGTCCACTCTACATGTTTATCAAATTTCATTAAAATAGATTCAATAATTTAGGCGTAAAATGTAACGGACAATTATCAATTATCGATTACTTACTATAGTAGAATATATATCCGCAAGTCTATCTTCAGCCTTGACGCCTTTCTTTGATCTCATCAAGAGATAGATCCTGTCTAAATCTGAACATGAATACAGCAACTTCTCTATCAAAGCCTTTCCTAAAAAACCTGTAGAATAAAATATCGTTTAATCGATCTGTCTATACTCGCAGTTTTCCCGCGACTTCGCCTGCCTAGGTTATAGCCTATGCACTCTCACTATCTCACCTGCGTAAGATGTAGCTTCCCGAAGGTGAAATAATTATCACGATACAAACAAACAAAGTTTGAAACTTTACTTGTTTATTATATTAGTATAGATTAACTATTTGCCTATTAATATCCCTACTAAGAGGCCTTCTCTATCAATTGAATTGAACTAGGAGAGTTTGAGCCTATTGCGGTTTGGTGGGTGTTATCGACTGCAGGGGTAGCCGGGATCAACGTGCCTTCCGAATCGCCGAAGAGCACGAGATTATTATACTTTTGGTCACCCGTTATATGACCAGCCTTCGAAAAAGTTGCTTAACTACCACATATCAAGAGTTTTATTTCATTACCATTTTCTCTTTTGTAATTTTCAACTGAAACTTTTTAACACTATGTAAGAGACTCTTTGACGTGACAATACAAAAAAAAAGATAACAATAAAATTTAAGCTTGCATGTCAATGTCAACCTTAGCAGCCGAATAACTCGCACACCCGTTTCAAGACGCCATCTCTAAGATCCCGGGTTCGAATCCCGGTCGGGTCATTATAGGAAATTAACAAATGTTGTGGAATTGTCGTTCATTCAGATACGCCATTATACCCGCTGTTAGCTACCCACTCACCTCATAATCTGATCAATAGACGTGATTGTCCTTGTTATTCATTTATTATAACACTTTAATTAAAGACAGTTATACATAGTTTTCCTTGATTCAGATTATCGGATACTAATATCCGATATTCTTTCGATATAGATTATCGGATATCAATATCGAATACTAGCTTTACATCACTTAATATGAATAAAAAATATCGTAAGCATAATCATCATTACCTACCTGATCCTCCTGTAATGAACACAGTTTTCCCTCGAAAATACTCCTTGATACCAGGGACATCACTTAAGTCTCTATCTTCTAAAAACCCCATCGCGTTACAATTGTGCTATTAGAAATTAAAAAATAAATAAAAAGTCCATTTGATTTCAAAATATTTTTATGAATAATCACAATTTAATTTAATAACTTTTCGTTTGTAATTATTTTATTGTGTATCTGATATTATTAATTTATTTTCATAATATATGTACTCCTCCACATATTTCCCTTGCAGGGCGTCACATTTTTATTGATAAGAATTATATTAAGTTCAGCATTAAGATATCCATAATGTTTAAAAAGTAGAGTCGACAGCACGACAGTTTATACAAATATGTATTTCTCTACTTGATTTATGTCTATAATTTTGATTTAGTAATTAATTCAAATAAAATAATTAAAAAATTATATATTTTTTATGCAATATCAATTTTTTTCTTACCTGTGAAAAAATTAAAAACAAAAACACAGCACACAAAAAAGATTCCACAACAATGACACCGTTCTAAATTTGAATTCAAACTGAATATGGCGGGACGCGTCTTGCATCGGTGATTGCGAAAGATTTTTTTTTTAATCAACCAGTAACGTTACACTTGCCTATAGTCTGTAAGTCAAATGTCAATTGAAATTCTACAGCATACGATGACAAAGTAGAATTTATTAAAGCGAAGTTTATCGCCTCCTTATATTATTTTTATTTTAAATAAAAAAATGAGGCGATCGTTTCGGCTGAATGTTTTTTTTTTCTCTATCTGTATCTGATATCTTCGCAAATAATATTTTAAAAAAGAATAGGAAAAAGTATATTATTTTTCATTCAAAGAATTAAAATGACTTCAGAAAAAATGTCGGATTTTTTTTGTAGATATTAACTATTGAAACATTCTAAAATTAAGAAAGAAATAAAACAATTTTAAATTATAATCAAATACATAGCGATATCCAGAGGGTGTCTTCTTTCAACTTCTTTTATTGAAGTTGATTAAAACACACATGAACACTTTCATTGACTTCACGTAAAGCGTAGATTCGTTTAATTAAATTTAGGTAAACTTTATTCTTTATTTCTCAACTGAAGATCAAACTGCATCCATAGAATTGAATTACTGTAATAAACCGCTTATCCATTTAAGAGAAGAATTAATTAAAGATGAATATTATATATAATACTATGTATTTATAGTTCAAGAGATATAGTCCCGACAACCAAAAAGATGGGCTGACGATATTACAAGTCTGTGCGCAAAAAAGCTGGATGCACAAAGCCTAGGATAGGAAAAAATGGCGTGAGATTGAGGAGGCCTATACCTATGGGTTACAGAAGGCTGATAAAGAAGCCATTATGTAATATTAACAAGGCAATAGGTAAAACAACTATGACTTTTGACAATTATTATACAATAGAATAAATAGACAATTATGACTATACAATAGAGTATATCAGATCATAAAAAAACCTATAACTTTTAGAATTCATACTGACTATGAAAAACTAGCGTAGGTAGTTTAAATTTGTTTTATTAATTATGAAAATTGTTATAAAAATAAACCAAAATAAACATAAAAATTCTAATTTTGACGTATTAAGTCACATGATTTTTCTAGTTAAATAATATTTCTAAATCGAGGTTTTTAATTTGTGCATCGCTTGACCTGAATACCGTTATGGTCTGACGTCATGTCAATAAATCATTTCTGTATCTCTCAGACTAGTCGTAAACATATTCTTATTTATTTACTAGCAAAGCCCTAGATGACGTTATTTTTGTCTAATTTATATAATTTTATTTAATAGTAAATCTATAAATGGCACTTTTCTTATGTCATTAATATATTTTTATTATATCCCCTGTCTGTTTCATTTATGTATAATTTTATATTACGTAATATTTTTCCAGTGGCTTGATAAATAAAATTAAGATTATTATGTACTTTTACAAACATAGTAGTATCCCTGTTAGATACTTGTAAAATGCTACTAAAATATATAGTTGTATACGCGATTTCGTCTCAATAATTTACTTATTGCCTTTAAATCTCTGTAATTTAATATTCTTTATTTTATTATTTATTTGTTAATAATGCACTGAATTTATTATAACCTCCTGGGGCTCAACCGCTTACTCTAAGCTAAATCCAAAGCAATAGCTATTAGAAGTATGATTGTTTAATTCAATGAATTATGCTCAGGTATACTATTCTTTTATAACGATAATTTTTTAATTATTTGTAAGTTTTATCATCTTCGAAATAAATTCGTTTATATATTGATTCTATTTCTTTATCATATTTTTATTTAGTTCAATGTAATTTAGTTAAAAATAAATAAAACAATTGATAGAATATAAATAAAATAATAATAAATATGTGATCATATTGTTTAGTACAACAGTAATTATGACTATTTATGATGTCGGGCTCTTGGACTAGAACACAGCCTTCGCGTGTTATGTTTATTATTAACCTGTTTCTTTAATTAAGCACGCAGTTGCTGAATGCACCAATTTTTAAATGAATACAGTTATTATAATCATGAGATAGATATTATATTGACCTCTCATTTGTTTTTATTATCAAAGACAAGGACAAAAAGCACCTACCGTACATTATTTAAACGTAAATAATAACTTTTTATGGTTCCCTTATAGTTTCGCATATTCCGTCCGTCCGCAATTTAGCTCAAAAACTATTGGTACTAGAAAGTTGTAATTTGACGTTAATGCCGGCGAGAAAGTGGTAAAGTAATATTTTGAAAAAAATAATTAGGGTACCTCCTCTACATGTAAAGAGGGGATATTTTTTCTTCGTCTTTCCCATCGTCGGATAGGTCTTTCAAAAATATTGGGGGTGTGGCAAAATTATTTTTCGATTTAGTAAGCAGTTCGTGACTTATTAAGAGCTAATTTTCATTAGAGTCAAGTGGGGGGGGGCGCACTACATACTAAGCGCCCGTTGATGATGTTGTTGATGATGCTTGTTGATGACAATTCAAACGGTACGACAGTAGTACCAATATTATAACGGAGTTAAAATGTAAACTATCACACTTAAGATGGCTTTAGAAATTTAATACTTATACAACCAGTTGCAATGTTCATTCAAATTTTCATTAGTTTAAAGCGACATTAGTCATATAAATTTGACATTCATTAGAACTTAAAAGCGTTATTAAACTTTAAGGGACGTTTGTGCAACTGACCGTTAATCAGTCAATTGTATTTAACTCGAAAATTTCGAACAATTTTATAGAAAAAAACAAATATGATATATATATTTTTTAATTTAACATAATACTATCCTTAGTCACTGTTTTGTTATTTTAATAGTAAATTTATATGTTCATTTATTGATGCTTAATAACTTATGTTCCATTCAAAGAAATATTTAAAATAAGATTAATGCTATTACTTTTCAGGATAGCGTCTGCCTAACACCGTCGCCATTACTCTAACCATAATTCTAGCCATAGCTATAAAACTTTTAATTTTAAAAAATAACGATGTGTGTGATTGTATAATATTGTATAGTATCGACAAACAAACTGGGCCTTAAATATTATTCAGCGTTTTCGTAAAGCAAAGTTGCAAATACGAAATTCATTGAAATTGTATTAACAATTGTCTTTAAAAACATACAAAAAACATGGAAAATATTCTGGTATTCGTTAATATAAAAATGAATCACCGAAATGTATGTACGCGTATAACTTCCGAATGTTGCACCAAATTTCATGTTTTTTTTTGTTTTCTATTAGTACAAGATTTGTATTTTAGAAGTATTTTATATTTTATAAATTTACAAAAGAAAAATCCTCAGTCGTGACTGAAGACATAAAAGATGCTGATGTGAACGAAATTCACAGAGTCGGCTAGTATAATATAAAATATTCAGCAGCCCATATCATCATCGTCATCAGCCCCTTTACGTCCCCACTGCAGGGGCTCAGGCCTTCCTTATGGATGGTTAAGGAGGATGGGCCATAATCCTCCACGCTGGCCCAATGCGAATTGGAGCCGGGACCAACGGCTTAACGTGCCTTCCGAAGCACGAAGTAGCTCGAGATAATAATTTTAATGGTCACACATCCCGCGACCGACCCTTGCGAAGTTGCTTAACAACAACGATCGCGGGCCGCGGCGCTTATCCTCTACGCGAGTGTTTTACAACCTTTTTCATGATGCGACCAACCCCCCCCCCCCCCCCCAGGTATGAAAAATATTTCGCAACCCCCCGACCCTTCGCTTTTTCATAATGAAATTATATGTACGTTACACTGTAACGGTTACTTACAGTATTTCAAATATTCATTCCATACGAAGTATTTATGCGTATACAATTCTACATAATTTCATAATTTATTTGGAAAACGATTTAATTCTTTGTGTAGCAATTACAGATCCTAGATGAGAGAAATTGATAAACCAAAAACAAGCACAACCTTCGCATTAACAAGTCTTGGAAATTTATTTTTTGTTAATTTGTTTTTATTAATTAACATACAAATATTTATGAGTATATTCCTTTTGTTAAAATTCTCCTACTAAATAAATCAATATATTTAATCTTCATTGTTTTTTACTGAAGTTCTCCCGACCTATGGCGACCCCCCTACAGAAGCTCCGCGACCCCTCGGGGGGTCGCGACCCACAGGTTGAAAAACAATGCTCTACGCCACCGAGTTACTTATAGACTAACAATATACCGCGCCGTTCCAACCACAACCTCCTATTCAGAAGCTGATTAAAAGCTAAAACCGACTTCAAAAATGTTAATGAGTTTGTTATCTATACTGAGGAAAGATTGTTCCGAAACTACGTTAGTTTATTATTACGCCAATGAAGTCGCGTAAAACAGCTAACTATTCAAGAAATAATAAAGATCTAACATAAAAAAAAAATACCAACCATTATAAAGTGAATGAGCCTATTATTAGGTACCTATTACGTATCAATTTGATGACTACGCTTAATGAATATTGAACGCGCTAGTTTAAAGGAAAAACCTTGAATGCATGATATGTCGATATAATATATATCTATATTAAAGCCCGTCACACACGTAGCTATAATATATATTAATATGCCGTGCTATAATATATGTTATAGTAAGCTATCACACACGGAGACG